TGAGATGTGTTAGAGTCTCCCAAGGGACACAGTGCTACCCCAGCAGCAGGGTCCCCAAGGCAAACATGGGGATGCAGAGGGTGGGAGCAAACTTGGTCGTGGGGTCTGTGTCCCTGTCGTGGGGCAGTGCTTGGGTTTGCAGAGAGCCCGAGCCCTTGATGTGGCACCAGTGCTGGGATGCGACGGCTGATGCTGCCAGTGTCAGTGTCGTGGCTGGGGCTGGAATCCAGCTGGAAGCAAAATCTGCAGAGTTTCACTGGCTACAAGTGGCATTTCATTTTGTCAACTGGCAGAAATACAAATGTCTTGTTTCTCCCTCTGCTAGCCATTCTGGGGGAGAAATGGCTCACCTGCTCCATGGCTTTTCATGGAACGGATTATTGCTCCTGACTGATGGTTCCTCAGACCCTGCCCTGCCTTTGTTTTTTTTTCCTGGGTGAGTAGATACATAGGTGCTGAGCCCAGGGAGCCAGGCCTGCTGGACATGATGACCCTCACACCCAGCCTATGGAGATCCACTCTGCATCCCTGAGTGTCAGTTTCTGATTCTTGCCTCCATCAGCACTTCCTGGTCTCTGGGGCCTCACTTGTGGTCTCACAAAAGCACTGTGAGCACTGACCTCGGCCACCGTGCTCCTCCTGCCGGCAGTCCAGCTCCTTCCCTGCCCTCCCTCCCTCCCTCCTGGCCTCACTGAAGCACAGTCAGAAACCAGAGGTGCACAGGGATGTGCATTCACCTTTTTTCTAGATAAATCCATGGCAGTGCCACAGCTCACTGCTTCTCATTCCCTGAGGTCAACCACCCTGAGCTATTCTGGTTGTGCTCCTTGCTATCTGCCAGGACAGCCCTCGAGGTGCTCTGGACATGGAGGTTAGGCCTGAGCATCCCTCTCTGCATCATTCAACTGCTCCTGGACATCCCTGACTGCTCTCCCAGGCTGAGATCCCCGAGTAACCTCCCACCCCCGTTGCACCAGTATCTTTCCTTCTGCACTGGGCCAGCACTGCTGTTTTCTCCCTTGCCAGGCGACCACGCAACCTCCGTGAGCACTCTGGGGGCGAGAGCGATGCCCACAAACCCATGCCGTCCTCCCATCCGTCCGCCGCATCCCCTGGCCCGTTGTCTTCCCAAAACCCACCAGGACTTGGCCCTCTGCGTCGCTGCACCAGCCAACAGTGCGGCCTGGCAGAGCCGGCATCCCACGCCAATGGCAGTGCCAGCGCCCGGAGCAGATGGCGGAGCCGACCAGTCCCTTCCCCGTGGCCGGTTTTCGGCCGGGAGCACGGTGGGCTCGGTGGGCAGGGCGGCGACACGGGAGCCAGCTCGGCTGGAGCGTCAGGGCAAGGCGTGTTAGCGGCAAAGCTCACGGCTATTTTTAACCTGGATGGATGAGAGCTTATTTCCTGACTTGGCTCGTGCGGCGCGGCGGCACGCGTGGCTTCCGCCGCCCGTGCCCGGTGGGTGCGGGGATGTGGCTGGTTTGGGTCATCAGATGGCAACCCTGAGCCTGAAATGGTTTTTTCTAGGAGCAGCAGTGGGAAGGGAGTGGGCTGCCAGGAGAGTAGAGCTGGTACCCCAGAGAGATGACCAGCAGTGCCATCCTGAGCTGGTGTGGCTGGAGTTTGGGGTGTCTTGCTGGGCTCTGGGCTGGATGCTGCATCCATCAGCCTTTGGGTTTTCTCAGGCTGTATTTTTGAATCCCAGTTATTACACCATGACCCACCGTGGGGCTTCAAGCCTATTCCCTCCAGCACTTCACCTTCCCCCTGCTGCAAAACTCCTTGGAGCGAGTGCGAGAGATTCCCGTTGGAGCAAGCCCCTACCCTACGGGATTTGTGAACAACCCCTGCACCTTTTGGGGTTCAGAAAACCCAGGTTGCTTGAAATCCCACCCTATCCAGCTGCTGAGTTTTTGGAGGGGCTGTAGGATGGTTGGCATGTCCCCTGGGGCCAGGCTGCTCGCTGTGGGACGGGGTGGTGGTACCCCAGGTCCGAGCGGCTCTGCGCCATCGGGAGGACGGGTGACTTAGCACGTTTCCCCATCCCTGCTCCCCCCGCGCCTCCCCCTCAGCCTCTTCCTCCGGGAGGCCTGACACTAATGCAGCGGGAGCGGGGGATTTATGGACGGCAGCCCTCCAATCGGGCCATCCGTCTTGATTAAATTAGCCCTAATGGCTCTGTGCTGACTTGCTCATAGTCCTGCGCAGCCGCGCTGGGGGCGTCGGAAAGGGGCTCGACGGAGACCCCACCGGGGTGCACCCCTCATTTCACCCCCTTGTCCTCCTTCCCTCACTTCCACAGCTCCTGAGAGGGTGGCCACAGCTGGCCTAGGAGAGGCTGGATCCTGCCTGGAGTTCTTCCCTGGCTGGGAGCCCACCAGGGACACAGGGGTTCCCAGGGCTGTGGTCCGGTGCCCACACTTCCCTCTGGCACCAATCCTGATGGAAAAACATGGGGAACCTCCCTACTCCTCAAGAGTAGAGGGAAGCTGGGGCTTACTGGGATGGAAATCCCAGGCTATTTATTTGCATTTCCTGTAGCAAACTGGGGAGCGAGGGATAAGCCACCAGCACGGCCAGGTGGTGGGAACACCAGACTCACCAGTTCTGGCTGCCCAGCTCCATCCTACCCTCCCAGCTGGCCCCAAGGGCTGCAGACCCCCAGGGTGCCCATGTCTCTCCCTACATATTAGCCCCCAAATCTCCCACTTGCTGGAAAAAAGCCCCAGTAGAGCACCAAGCAGGGGAGCAGCCAGTGAGAGGGGGCTGGGACTGGGCACCCTGCAGCCACTCCCCTCAGGGTGCCCCTGGCCCGTGGCCAGTTGCCCACCCCAGCTCTTCAGCCAATTTTTTGGCTACTGGGAGCATTAATTGTATCTCTTGCTGCAGGGAGTGGAGGGAGCTTTGGGCTGGCGCTGCTGGCTGGGGATCGGGGCAGGGAGGGATTTGGGAAGCTTTCGGTGAGCATGGTGGGGTGGCAGGAGAGGAGCCCTCAGAGAGGAGAATGCCAGGGTACAAGGGGCTGCATGACAGGTAGAAAGGAGCAGTGTTTTGGGGTCAGGTCACCCCTGGGTGGTCTTATTCAAGACCACCACGCCCAGTGTGTGAGCTGGTGTTCCGTCCAACCTGCAGATCCCAAATCCTTGCTGAATATCCATCAGTTTTTGGACAGAACAAGGCCCATGCAGTGCTTTTCATCCCAGGATTTTAAAGTGTTGGTTAAAATTCAGTGTTTGTGAGGCTGGTGGAATGGGGTGAGGTGGACAAGCCAGTGTGGAGAGGGGAGCGGAGGCAGCACTGTTAGCATTGCCCTGAAATGCTCTGAATTTGGGATTTTTGGGAGCAGTGAGGGGACAATGCTCTTTTGCCGTGCTGGGGAGAGAATGGGAGCTGAGGATAAGGAGAGTCACTGCTCCAGGATGCTGCCGAAGGGGAGAGGGAGGAGCTACTGGTCCCAAACTTGTGGTGGGAGCCAAGGAAGAGTGAAGAGGAGTCTGGGAAGGGGTGGGAGGTGATGCAAAAGGGCAGGTGGGGAGGGAGCCTCTCCATGTGCTGGGGTCTGGGGGGATTTATGGCTTTCCTGTGACCTGCTGGCTGCATGACAGCCACGCTGAGCAGGGCCGAGCATCGCTGTCGAGGCTGGAGGTCTCCTGGCGGTGATTTTTTTTTTTAACAAAGCCTGTGAATCCCCAAAAAAGGAACAGGCAGCAGCCCTGGGATCTCGCGGGTGACCGAGTGTGGAGGAAGTGTAGCAAAAATTACAGACGGTGGCTGGTTTGCATCTCCCTCTGGCTGGGAGCCAGCCGGGGTTGTGAGCCCACTGCAGCATCTTCTGCCTCCTGCTCCCCTCCACGGGGCGAAAGAGGCTGCCAGAGCAAGGTTTCACTTTGACCCTCTCCACAAAGGCCTCGCTGTTATAAGAACAGGGTGACCTGGAGACACCCAAACAGCTTAAAATAATACTCACCACCAAGAAATAAACTTGGACTCCGGTCAATCTTTTTTTTTTTTTAAATAAAAATAATCCCCGCCTGCAATAAAAAGAAGTGGCTTCAATTCCCAACCCTCTGCACACACAGCCCCTGCCCCTCAAACCAGCCGAAAGTGAAGCCTTCAGGGACCTGGTACCCGCCATCGATTTTTCGTGGAAGGTGCCCAGAAAGGACGGTGATGGACTGTGGGGCCACTACCCCCCGACCGCAGCAGCCAGCACGGGGGAGCTGAGATGGATCCATCGGGAAAGGGTTGTTGCTTCGCTCTGGCTGTGGTTGTCGGAGCCGAGGCCGGGCTAGAAAAAGCAAGCGGAAACCATCAAGGTGGAGGAGAGGAAGCGAGGAAGAAGAAGAAGAAGGAAGGGCCGAAGGGCTGGGGCGAAGCAGCCATTAGGAAAGTGCTGATGCAGAGGTTCCCTCGTGTCTACGGGCAGAGTTGGAGGAGTTGCTGTTCACGGACAAAGGCAGCAGGAGGGAGTGGAGCTTTGTAGAAGCCGGAGCCTGTCTCACTGGGTGTCTGTGTTTCATTCCCTGTCAAAAGCCTGGGAGCTGGGGGGAAAAAAGCAGGGAAGCGGCGAGGCTGCAGCGCTCGCTCAGGATCAGATAGCAAGGAAACCAATAGCGGCGAGAAAAAAAAAAAAAAAAAAAAAAGAAAACCAACCCACATCAACCAACCAACCCACCCACCCTCCACGCTGAGGCTGGAACAGGCAGGTCCCTGCCAACTCCACAGCACGCAGCAAGCAGGGAAGAAGTCCACCCTCCCTGGGCAGGAGCGGAGTTGAGCCCGAAGGATATTTGATGACACTTCGGCAACGATGGGTCCCCCAGTATCTTCCAGAGCCCATTTGAGGGTGAAGGCTCTGAAAGCACAGAGGGAGTTTGAAGCTAAATTCACCTGAGTCTGGATCTCTTGGTCGCTGGGATTTATCTGTTTTTCTTATTTTCTCCAGGGAGAAACCAAACCAAGAAAAAAAGCGTGGGTTTTTTTTTTTTTAATCTCCCTCCTTTTTTTTTTTTTAAATTTTTTTTTTTCTTTTGGAAGAAGATATATTTTTTTTTTCCCCTGTGGTTGGAATGGAGGGGTTGGGTCTGTGCCTAAGAAGCAGCAGCCGAACGTCGGTCCTGGGAGAAACCCGAGTGGATGTGGGGTCCCCTGCCAGCTAACTCTCCAGGACCCGCAGCCCCACGGCCGGGGGGCCTGGATGCAGTGAGAGGTAAGTGCCGGCTCCGGTGTCTGCCGCCAGAGAGCCGGGGCGACGGCTCCTCCGCTCCTCCAGCTCCGTCTTAATCCCAAGTCAGAGGCAAAAACAGCAGTCTCATAGTGAGTCAATCACTTCCACCTATTGCAGCCCTAATGGAGAAATAAGACGGGGAAGTTTCGCAGCGGCAGCTTCGGGGAGGAAGTTCCCCCTCACCCCTGTACCTGAAATGCCAGGCTGGGGGGGGATGTTTTACCAGGTTGGCCGCCGTCACCGTGCCAGTGCCATGGGCCCCCTCCCTGCCCAGCCAGCAGCGAGGGTTTGCTGCTGCCTTTTGGGGAGCGCTGGTTCCTCGCCGTGCTCCTGCTCCCCTCCTGCTTCCCCCGGGCCAGCTCGCTTCCTCGCCCAAAACTTTTGCACGCTGGTTGTTTTTGGCAATGCCCACGCAGGGTTATGCCCCTCTATGCCCACACGTGTGTATCCACATGTGTGTGTGACACATGCTCGCCTGACCCTCTTACCCCCAACTCCCTGGACCCCGCCAGTGCAGGGACACGCTCGGGGGGAGCCCGGGAGCTGTGGGGCTGGGGGTGCTTCGAAGGCAAACTGCAAAGCGCAGGGAAAAAGCAAAGCGAGCCGAGCACGGCAGCGGCAGCAGCAGCATAATTGCATCACTGTAATAGTATCGGGGCTGAGCACGAGCCAGGCGAGTAAAATTGTCCAGAAAATGAGCTGTACTAAAGTGCCTCCAGTTTGCAGCACCTGCACGCCTTCGCCGGGTGCTCGAGGCCGTTCGTATTTTTAGAAGTCTCTCTTAATTATAGAACGAAGAGTGTGAGAGGGAAAATGGTGTGTACTTAGCAGCATTCGTTCCCGGACAGTTTTGCAGTGAATATGAGCACAAAATCACCAAACAGGGTTGTTTTTTTTTCTCCCCCACTGCTCTTGTGATTTTGAACCACCTGTTTTGCCATGGCGTCGGCAAACGAGGGCTGGATTTTTTCTTTCCTGTTCTTAGAAAGCGTGGTGATGACTTTGCCTGCAAAAAAGATGGGAAACAATCCTGATGCCTTCCCTCTTCACCCCAAATCAACCCCAATTTCTGTGAGACCTCCCTACTCCCCATCCCAGGGGTGACACTGGTGGGGACAGGGGATTCACCCGCCAGTGCTGGGTCTCCAGCAGGCACCAAAGAGCTCACTGCAAAAAAAAAAAAAATCCACAACAAACCCTGCAACAACTCGTTTTGCTTCTATAAATCTCCTTCCCCTCATCCCTTTCTCTGCAAAACTTTCCGGGGCCTTTTGTTTGGAACAGCAGGTGAAATTCCCTTTGTGTGAGCACAAAGCAATGAAGCCACCAGAAAATAATGAAAACAAGACTAAAAAAAAAAAAAAGCAAAAAATAAAATAAAAAACCTCTTGCCTGCTCTTTTCAGGCCTGGAATAACAGTGAGCATTCCCGTCTGTGCCAGATAGCCTTAATAAAGCTCTGGCTTTGCTGGGGAAGGCACCGTAAAGGCCACTTTATTTCTTGCCTCTGATCCAAAACACACTTTGAAATCCTGTGTTGCCTCTGCTGTTCTTTACCCAAATGAGTTGCTTTGCCTGTGAAGTCAAGGAGGGTTTTTTCTGAGCCCTGGAATGACCCCGGGGGATACGGCGAGTCCCTCGGGACCAGATGGGGTGGGATGTCGGTGTCCCCCCGTGCTGTGGTGCTCCGTGATGCTCCTTGATGTTCCCAGTGGGGTTCCCCTCTCCCCGCCGGCCCGGCAGCTTCACCGGCAGCGCGGTGGAAACCGTTCCCGCTGCGGATAAACTTCAGAGGAGCTGTCGGGGGAACTGCACGGCGAGCTCAGACCTGGCGTTTTCACCCCATCTGTGTCAGGTTGTAGGGTGTGAATGTGCCTGAGAGACACGGGAACCTCACCCAACCTCTGTGCAGGTGGAAAGAGGCCGGGCTGGCGGTTTTGGGGGTGCTGTCTAGAAAGAGTGGGAGCGCAGTCGCTGTGAGGGATTGCTGGAGGGACGGGTCCGTCCCCCTCTCCTGTCGCCGCTCGGGTGTGTGGCACACAGAGCGGGCACCTTATGTAAGCAGCGATGGCAGCGCCGTGCCCCGACCGTGCCATCCTGCTCTGCCCCTGCTGGGCCCTGCGTGGCCTCCACCACCTCCCTTATTCCCCACTCTCAGGGTCCCCTCTGGGTGCAGGGGCTGTTGTATCACTGTGGGAAGGAGCATAACACTCGCACCATCCGAGGGGACAGGGTGGTGAACGGCTCCAAGTGCAGGGGTTTGCCTGTGGTTTCTGAGGAGTTCACGATTCCATCCTTCCCGGATCTGGCTCTGGGGTCCCCGGGAGCTGGCACCAGGCCTAAGCCCCTTTCTAAGGTCTTCTGCACCCCTTGTCTAAAGTCCAGCATAATTTGGGTTCAGCACTGCAGGGCAAGGGCCAGCTCTCATGGATGAGGAGGGAAAATCGTCCTCTAAATGCGGGGACACTGGTTGGCAAAGGACCTGTGTCCCTGTCCCAGATCATGAACCTGTCCCTCCATCCCCACTGCAGGCCCCTGCGTTCCCCAGTCCTCACCCATCCACCTGCCCTGCACACAGTGTGCCCGAAATGGAGGAAAGGAGAGAAAAAGATGAGCATTTAGGGGCTTGGGAAAGCCCCTGAACCCCAGAGAGCAGAGCACGGTGAGTGCTTCACTGCTCCAGCTCCACTCCAGCTTCTGAACAGGGGTGGGAGGGAGAAAGGTGGGAGTGGGGCGGCAAGTGACTGGGGGTAACTGTAAGCCAGTCACCTCACTGGGTTATGCCCCTCTTTCATCATTCCTGGCTTGTTCCCTGGTTCTTTCTTGGTCCTTTAGTCCCAGCTTGATCCTGGATCCCAGCTCGACCCCAGTTCCCAGCTCACTCCCTCGTTCCCAGCTTGCAGCAAGGCAGGTCTGCCGGTGGGCGATGGATTTTTTACAAAGCTCTTTCAGATTCCCCCATTGGACTTTTGAAGCATCTGGTATCACTATCTCAGCGTCATTATGAATTAATTAACATTAATTTCCTGTTCTGGTATCTCCCATTGCTGAGAGCCTTAGCCTGGGCTTTTTCCCCCGCCACACACGCCCCAAACAGAAATGACCACATCCAGACCATGCCTGGCAGAAAGCCAGAGAGAAGCCACGTGTTTGGGGGGCCGTGGGCTCCCCATCCCTGTCCCCATCCCACACCGTGGCAGGGGATGCTGCCAGGCTTCCAATGGTCTGTTAGCCAGGATAGGGCTGGTCCTGGGAGAGCCTCGGTGTTACCAGCACTGCCTGCCCCTTTGCCGTGCCCCTGGCACGGGGTACAGGTGTTTTGGGGATGGGTGATGCCGTCTGTGCCATCCCTCACCTCTGTGGGATGAAGGGCGGGTGATGCTGGGGCTGTCCCGTGGGAGAAGGATCTTCCCTCCAGCTCTGGGAAACCCTGATCCTGGCTCCCCAGCCTGTGCTAGAGGCACCAGGGATGTTCTCCTCTGGGATGCTGTCCCAGGGATGCTAATGCCAAGGATGCTGTTCCTGGGAGTGCTGATCCCAAGGAGATGGATCACAGGGATGCTGACCCCAGGAAGGCTGTCCTCAGGGATGCTGACCTGCTAGATATGTGAGGATGGGAATACAGACATAGCAGGATGGGATGAGGCCGTGATCCTTTGCCCCAGCCATGTTCATCCTGCTCTGTGAGTCACCCCGAGGGAGGCACAGCCCGGGAGTGGCCACCTGCTTCCATCCCTGAGCTCACCTGCACGGGTGAGCCCTGGTGAGTCCAGAAGGACTCAGAGGGATGTGGACGCAGCACCTTCTGCCTCCCAGCCCCATCCAAGCCCTTTACCTGCCCCATTTCCTGCCCCAGAGCAACACAAACCCTCCTGTCCCCCCACCGCTGCCCCCCTGCCACCACATGTGCCCCATGGCAGGGCCACAGTAACCCCCAGGGCCACCCAAGCCCCGCTGAACCCTTGCAGTGTTGGCTGAGTTGGTGGCGTCTCCCCCCCCCCCGAGCTCCGTGAGCCCCGTGGCCGAGGCGGGGAGGGGGTGGCAGCCCCCGGGGGGGCCGGGGGATAACCCCGGTGTCCTACATCCCCGGAGCCCGGCTCGGGCTTACGTAACAGCCGTGCTGCAGTCTGCTCTGCTCAGCGCCAGTGCCACCGGCAGAGCTGCAGCGCGGAGCCCATCTCCCTGGATATTTGCTTTTTGGGGAGAGGGGGGAGGGAGGGGGACACCTGCGGGGGTAGCCGAGCCTCAGGGAGTGGCCAGGACCTGGATGGGGTGGTTGGCAGAGCTGACTGGGCACAAGGTGGGGATGTCTGCCCCCAGACCCATCTGTCAGTGACCTTGGAAGCCAAATTCCCCCCTGGATGGCAGCACAGTGTGGAAGGAGGGGCTGGGGAGGGGGAGAGCAGAGAGGGCCCTGCCGTGATCCTGAGTGAGGATCAGGTTAGAGACTCTGTTGCATCCTCTGCCAACCATGCTCCTGTCTCTCTCTCTGGGAGAGCATTGTGAGAATGGGGAAACTGAGGCAGGAGGCTGTGACATCCCGTGGGGAACAGGTATCAGGGTCCCTCTGGATGGGGAGGGGATGGGATAACCCGGATAACCCCAGGTTGGAAATGTTCTGGTCCAGCCCAAGCTCTTTCCCCCAAGCCAATGTCCCTGCTTGGGGCTGGCACATGGGCACAGGGAGCTGCTGGAGCTTGGGGCAGCATCCTGGCAGGAAGGTGCAGCTCTGGAAAGTGTGTCATGGCACGGGACATGGGGGGACATCAGGCTGGCTGCAGGACCCTTCCTGCCCCCAGCTTGAGTTCCCAGGGAGCTGCAGATGCTGGAGCAGGGAGCTGGGGGGAGAAACCTCACTGCCAGGTTGTGCTGAGGCCGTGGTCTGACAGGGGACCTGTGTGTCACTGTGCCTGACAGCTACCAAATGCCAGGGTGCACCTGGGAGCTGACCATGTGCCAGCACCCACCGGGAGCCCGAGGGTT